TTCGCTAAGTAATACTTAAATACAAGGAACTAGATAATAGCGACATACGACTAAAACAACACATGTGGGAATTTCCTTAAATGAAAAATCAGACTGAATTTCAAAACAGGCCGCTAGCTCTCCTTGTGACACTATAGACATACCTGCATATCGCAAAAAAGTGCTGACATCAATTAACAAAAGCATAAATAAACATTGGAACATAGCTTGGAAGAACTCACGCCCTACATATAATCATCGCACCAGAAATGATATTTATGAATGAAGCTTGGCCTTTTCGTCCGACAGAAGACTTCAAATAATACTAACAAGACTAAGAATTGGACATACGAATTTGAAAGAAGAAAATATCGTCAAGTAAAAGAAGATCCTAAAGAAATAAACCGAACAGTTCACTCATGCTCTAGTCTTTTGAAATTTCTAAAAGAAATCAAAATAGTACACTTAATTTAGTCAGCCGTCCATAACTAAAGAATACACAATACAGTTATGTACATAGATGATCATCTGCATAATTTAAAGTAGTTGTCAATGACCCAATGTGGTTGACGTAACTTAAAATACACTACAAAAACATACATACACAACTTACTGCCACGAAGGCCAACGCACAACTCTCTCTAGGCAATCACTCTCTTTTCGACATTTGCATTAAAAAATCATTCTCTTCTCCACAATCATTCTTACTCGCACTGTCCACAAACCCTTAAACATACCCCTTCAAAGCCAAACTGGAAACTTTGGGCCTGCGACGTTGTGCAGACCACTTTCTCTCGATCATTAGGCTTTCCTCTTTTATTATCCTTCGCTCACACTCACTCTTGAAAAATCCTAGATAAGAGGCGTTTATTTTTTCAAAAAATGTTCTCCCGCCTTACAATAATCGACCAAGGGTGGATACAGTAGTACGCCAATTCAGCGAGAGTGGACGTCGTTAAAATAATATTAAATAAATACAGTTCAATATATAGCAATCTATACACATACATCGATGATTAAATATGTAAATATATACACATAGATAAAAATGAAAAAGTATTATATGAAATAGCAACTGTATGTATTAAAGTAACAGAGTAAAAGCATAACACATAAAATAAAGTAAAATATCTAATTAAATAACATAAAATAACTAAGTAGATAAATAACATTAATAAAACATCACAAAAAAGAATGTAACAAAGTAAAAATCAGAAGACTAAGAGTACGTAGATTAAAATAGGTAAAATCGTTGTTCTCAATTAGTATTAGATGTGGCTAACGATCTGGTTACAAGTAACCAATCAAAACTACAAAACTGTAAGCCAGGAAAATACCTCTTGAGCATGTGCCCTTCCGCCAGACATCAAGTCATCTCCCAACTGTAGATCATTGTCTCGATTGAAGTTTATGTTGATAAAGTCTCTCAGCGCCACGAAAATGTTTATCTTACTGATTATCCTACAGTAAGCCTTTCGAGTTTTAGCCGACTATCCGCAAACTAAAAGTGGAAAAGGGCAAGGGCAATTGGCGCACACTCTACCATACGCCTTTCACGTTAGCTCCATCGACTGCCAAGCTGAAAGTGCACAGGAGCAAGGGAACTCGTCCATTCACGATGCTCGGCTTTCGACGCATGGTCATTATTGGCGTTCGGCAATAACAAAAGACGGAAGCGTAACCGAATGCTACGAAGTGAGACGTAACGATAGATAACAAAATTCTCTATAGCTTCGTCTCACTTCGTTGTATTCGGGCACGCTTCCATCTTTCGTTATTGCCGCGCGCCAATAACGACCATGCGTCGAAAGCCGAGCGTTGTGAGTGGAAGAGTCCCCTTGCCCCTGTGCACTTTTAGCTTGGTGGTCGATGGAGATAATGTCAGAGGCGCACAGTACTTATTATAGCGTTTCATACATTAAAACAACAGAATACGTTAGAAAACGTTCATAGAGATTTAATTAAAAGAGCAGAATTATGTATTCGACAGAATGGCCAACATTTTCAACAATTTCTGTAATAACAAAGTTCATGGTTACTTTAACATCTTGTTTAATAAGGTATTTTTAACTCTCAAGTACAGCAAACATTTTCGTGACGTTGGTAATTAGTTTTTATCAACAAACTCTTTAATCGAGACAATGATCTACATTGAAATCCAATAACGAAACATGGTCAAGTGCACGCGTACCTAGTGAATATTCAAAGTTGATTTTCTCGAAAACAAAGTCTCATATAAAACAATTTTATTCCTAACTTTGCATTATTTTTTGACATCGAATTATCCCCTACCAGATTGTAATACTAGTTACTGTATATGAAATTTCATCACTGTCTCTACATTTTTATCGAATTCACACGATAAGTGCCATGTCAGTCACTGATGACCGACGCTTCTGAATTACTTGAAAACAATCGTAGCATACAGTATAACCGATGTCGAATGATAATGTTTAATAACGTAACTAAGCTGATAATAGTGTAATGCGAATACTTTTTTTGTGGTTGAACATCACATCAACAACGAAGGTTATTAGCGACTTATTTGATCGTTCAGTTAATAAATATAATTGTTCATTGGTTGCCGTTTAATAAGTGGGTGGTAGAATGAGAGATTGTCTGTGTAGTTGAATCCGTATTTTTATAGATTATCGAGAATTCCGTGTAGCTTGTAGTAGATTATTAGGGTGTCCTGGTACGTACATAGTTGATAAAGCTGCTTTGGTGATATTATCCGTTATATTTAATTCCTTCATTGATGGGAGATATTTCGGGCATTCGAGGGTTACGTGATTTACGGTTACTGATGTATTACATATTTCGCATAAAATTGGTTGGCTGTTGTTCAGAATGTGCGAGTGTGTGAGTTTAATGTATCCAGTTCGGATTCGTTTTATTACCACTTGTTGTTTTCTGTTAATGCAATGATTGTAGTGCTAAGTAATTAATAATTATTCCTGCTTTTCTTTGCTACAAAAGAATAACTCTACGGAAAAATGGTCACGATTACGCTTAACGCGTTAACCGCTTTAACTAATAAAGGATTCGCGTAGGATCATTTTTGATCGACTCAGTCTGTAAAATCGACCCTTCAAAAAACTCCCATGTATTATGGATCAAGCTGTACGGGTGTTGTATTCTTATCGCACTTTTTCCTAGACAGCATCTAGAACGAGGACGCGTAGGCCACATTTACCTTTGTAATTTGTGAAATACATACGCACGGGCCTCGTATCGTTCGGCCGTTGCGTAGGTGCGAACGAACGCTGTCTCGTTGTATAGCTGATACCGAGTCATCGATAGGTCGTACACGTTGCACGCGTGCACGGCCATTCTTTGCCGTTTGTTCCTCCGTCTCGCGTGTTCAATGCAAATATAATATTCGAAACAGTCACGTACACCTTCGCGAGGCGTGGTTGCTCGATATCGATCGTTCATCCACGCTCGGAATCGTTTTATCAAGGATCCTTTCCTGTCTGACTCGTATTTCCACAGACTTGTAATTTCCCGCCAAGATATCGCGACTCTGTTCTTGGTTTTATCTCTCAAGGATTTTTCTACTGTGCACAGTGCACGATGCTCAATCTTATCTTGGATTCTTATTTTGGTCTTATGGTAATTTCGAGCAGTTTGCATAGTTTATATACAAACCTTTCGAGCGGGCAAATTTAATCATGGTTTGTGTGCTCGATCAAACTCATTTAATCGTTCGAGACCACTTTTTGAGTGTTGTGCATATTACCGTTCATAATTAGTTGAACGACTGACATTTCTTACATTATGCGACCTTTGGGAGATATGTATATAGGGAAATGTCTCATATTGTTGTTATCGTGAATGAGCGTTTATTAGGATAGTTAACGTGGTAGAATTGTTGTATCTGTGCATATTTTAAATATCAGCTGGCGGGTTATAATTATGTTGAAGATTTATGGAATGAGTTGGATAGTTAAAATGTGAAGAATCTAATGAAAATAATTTTAATTTTAATTTTGTATTAATGAATATTAGGTATATGATACTCACAGTAATATTCTTCACAAATACATGTACAATATAAGTGTAGAGATTATATTCTATAGTATGCTAACCAATTTCAATAGAAATTCGAGATATTACATTCTGAGAAGGGTACTACAGAATAATTTTTCTTTGTTAATTTTTCTTATCAGATGTTAATTCATTTTCATTTACATCTATGCAGTTACATTTGTATAATTAAATAAATAGTAAACTATTATTATATTTTAACTAATTACATTAGCGTGAACTTGTGCAACTTTATAAACCATTTTCAGTCCTTTGACTATGATTGATGACTGACAACAAAAATTATAATAGGTCAAATCATATTAGATGCATAAATATATAATAAAACATTAGATTTATGTTTCAATTTGTTCCTTGTAATTATCCTTATACTTTTCCTTTCGTAACATAGAACAATCAATATAAGAAAACATAAATGTCTAAAAATAAATGTTATCTCCTACTAGTTCAGATACTAGAGATTTCACTGCAGTTTGTATTTTACTACAAAGGGCATTTAATTTTAGTAAATTATAGCAAAACTCTGAAATTAAATTATGTGCGAGTAAGGGTTCCCATCAAAATTCCATCTCATGATGGTCATAAACTGTTTATGTTCCTACACTGTACTCAGCTTAACTTTATACTAGAAACTTAATAAATATCTGCAGCTAGCTCATTAATTTTTTCTTTCAATCATTTCGCATACATACAGATTTCTTCATGCACTGTTGAAACCTTTAACTCTTGGTAAATTTCATCATTTCTGACGTATCATGAAAGTACTACGGGATGATTGTTTGAAATTATTGAATTCTTGCAATATATATAAAATTCTACAAAATTTTCCATATTTTTATAAATGTCAACAAGTTATCATAAATATTTGCAAAAATAATTTTCAACTACTAAATACAAAATAATATTTTATAATGTAAAAAAATTGAAGTATTTTAATAGTAAAATTGAAATATGCTATCTCTGCGTTACAGATACTTTGGACTGCACTTTCAGTCGCTTTAGGTGTCGAATTAAGGGGCGACTTAATACGTGGCGTGCCATGTATTAAAAAATTTCATCAACTCTTCTGTCCAACTGCCGGAAACGCATATCCAATGTAATTATTGTAATATATACATATATTATAATTTAACATACAATTTATGCAATTTTACTCTAATCTATGTTAACCCCTTGCCTTACAATAACGTGTCCATCCTGATGACAATTTTTAATTACACTCGACGGATCTAACTGAAATTTATTTATTTCTAATATAAATTAAATGCTACTTGTCTATTATTAATCTATAATATTCGTAGAAAATGTAAACACAGAATAAGTATAAAATTCTTTTTTTCTACCAAAATTATTAACGATGAAGTAGTTTTATCAAGTACAGTTGAAAAATAAATTATAGGGCAAGAGGTTAACGCGCCTATATTATATATACTCATTGACAGACCATTTCATGCGGTAACAAAAGAAATATATAAAAATAATATACAAGAATAAGTATGATACAATTACATTTACCTATAGAAAATAATAATTAACACCCGTTCTTCGATACTAAGTTAATATTATTCCTTTTAATTCATGTTTAACATCTTACTTTTCATATATTTTGTGATTTAATTAATATATTAATCGATTTTTCATTGTTGGTTGCATCGCGCAGAAAACATGTCTTACAGATGAACACGATGGACGATTTTCAGTATGATTCTGTAAACAACGATTGAGACATAATAAAATCGGTATATTAAAAGCAAAATATAATAAAATGTTTTTAGAGAGCGGATAGAACGTTTTATTGACGAAAATAAAGCGTTAATGAGGAGAATGTACGGCGATTTTGAAATGAGTTCGGGATACGGTGCGGCTACGAAGGAACCGGGCCATCGGACACGTAGAAGAAGAAAAAGCAGAGAAGCTAGAAAACACGACCTCCCAGATGGTGGACCTAGTTTTCGAGACTCATTAGATCCGGATATCGAGACGAATGGTGGTGACTCATTCTTCGCTCATATCAGAAAAACCAGAAATCCCAGGCAATCACCTGGGAAGAATCAAAACAATGAGAGTGGAAGGTACGGAAATTTTAAAATCATAAATACTTCAGGGCATTATTCTTATTATTGTAAAAACTGCAGAATGTTCGTAATTATGTTATAAAAAAATGTCTAAGAAATTATTATCTATTTCAGTGAATTCAACATTTTTAATTCATACAGTGGCAATAATAAAAAATATTGTCAAAATATTAATTTTTGTGTAGATTTCAAAATTTTTTATGATATCAAAATGAATCATTTTGTATTGAGCTTTTGTGCCTTTTGTATGAACAGAAAATAAACCATTGTTCTTCATTATACAGATTTGTTTAATATTTATTTAGTCAGATTAGATTGCATTGCGTAACGTGGAATTTGTAAATATCCGAAATATTTGTAATATCTATAATAATCTATAACAATCTGTAATAATTTGTAACAATTTGTAACCATTTGTAACCATTTGTAACCATTTGTAACAATTTGTAACTATTTGTAATATTTGCAATATTTATATTTTTCAGAGTCGACGCATGCGAATCTAAAGTCGAAATTGTAACGCCATATTGGGCTAGTAACAGTGCTGGAAAAATTCGTGCTATCGTAAATACACAACACTTCGAACAGGCAATTCATCAAGAAGTTTGCTCGTAAGTATACGTTTGAAGTACACGGGTAAAGAATATTTTGTCGCTGTAAATTTTAACCTGTTATTTATTTGTGGCGTCGACATCCTTGTGACATTAATGCATGTACGAATATGTTTAGTAAACGATCTTATTTTACCTTCAAAGTCATAAAAATTGCAAGATATTGATATTGTTTTTGAAACATACTTTGGATATAACAATTAATATTTTCGGTAAAAATTATACACCTGTATATTATCTACCCTTTGCCATTTACCTCATTGTTTATGTATTTTTCGAATCCTTTTCAAATCAATGTTGTTCATCTCAAAAACATTCAATACATATTATTATAAAATTAAATTTTATTGAGTTTTCACATTCAATTGTCTATTGGCATATAATGGAATTTCGATATTCCTTACATTATGTCTGCATTATTTTAACAATCGATGAGAAATATATAAAATATTATAATTATTATATTTGTTACAATTATCTATTTCGAAAAAATATTTTTGTTTCAGAATTACGTTTTACTAAATAGTTGAATTTATTTAAAAAATAAGCATAACATAATGCAAACACAGGTCTATACTCTATTAAAAAACAAAAAACAATGATTTTGAAAGCTTCAAAAGATTCTGACTTCAACATTTTGATAAGCACATTTTCCTCTGCAAATCAAACAAAACTTATTTCAAATTTTCTTTCGTATTATTACGAAAATCAAACATATTTGCGGCTATTAAGATAAATGACACACTCTGTAAAATATTCATCATTGATAAAGTGAACATTCGATTAACAAATAACTCCGATTTTCACCTACTTGCTTGCTGATTAATTAAAACCATAAAAATTCTATTAGGTATTCATTATTCTATATAATGAAATAAAAAAGAAGATAGACTGTTACAAACAATGAAAGACTCAGCGAAAAAACTGTCTGTTACAGAAAAACACAAACAAATCGTTGCACCGGCGACTGTGGCTGCGAGCAGAAATACAAATGGCACAGATTACTCGCGTACGATCCTGATAATGATTGCAAAGGAATCTTCATGGATTGGTTCCTCTTTCCTTCTTGCTGTGTTTGCAGATGCGATCCGGTCGCTAACAAATTTTCCACCTCGAATACCCGAAATTGAAATGATTTCTCAGGAGCGAGTGTTTCCTGGGTTGCCATGGTTGTATTTGAAATTCAGTCGCAGTCACGACAGGAACTGCAGTGCCACACACGGATTGAAACTTCCGTCGAATCGTGAGACAGTTTTGTATTTCCGCTCAAGTAGTGTTCGTGTGAGAACGGATTGAATTTTACTTAAAATTCTCTTACTCTCTCGATTCACACAATACGTTATCATAATATGCTGTACAATTTCTCTTTTCTTCTAATTAAGATCCTTTACTACATGTTTTATTTAAGCGTCCATTTTACTGTCTACAATTTTATTTCTAGTTATTTATAGATTATGTCGCTTAACGGTATTAAGAGGATCGCTTACTTTTTCCGCAATAATTAAAAGTGTTCCTCTGATACATTAGAAAATAAGAAAATTGCTTAGAAACCTAAATGATTTTTTACATAATATAATTATATAAGTCAGATGCAACATTAGAACAAATATCCTTAGCGCAGCACTAGGTTATGTAACAGACTTAAATATCGTAAGCGCCAAATGTTACCTTATAGTTAGAGTTGGGAAATCAGCTCGTTTTATTATTATGTTACGAATCGTATCTAACATTATTAAATATTCTTTACAACCCATTATATGGTTTGAAGTTATTTTGTTTTCGTTTAAACCTCACTTGCGAATTCCCTGTAACGTTGTTTCAATGCCGAAGAAGATTAAACGTTGAACTTGAACGTAAAGGACGTTGCTCTTGATCGTCAAAGTTTAATGGATCCTGGCGAGAACAATGCTATATAAGAACAGAATGTCACAGAACAGACTTTACAGGAAAGAAATTGAATGCGAAAGAACTAATGTACACTCAGAGGCAGAAATTATTCTTTATCGTATTTATCGCTCACATTTATACATAAATTAATATACCAGAATATTTAAAATTTGAATAATATTAAAAAACAAACATATGAAAAGTTGGTCTTACTTTTGCTGTCTGATAATTTTTCATGGTTTTTAAATTATTGATACGTTCAATTTTGCATATTGTAACTTACATAAAAGTGCGTTCGGAGATGTATGATAATATCTCCTTGAAGTGACCCTTAACAATCTTTAAAATTAAAATGGAATATTATTCCATTAAGATTACAGGGATTTCCTTTTGGTCTTGTTTCATTTATTACGTTTCATAATTATGAAACAAGGAGACCGAAACCAGTCATTTTGACTAGTACGGTAGTTCTAGTGTTAAGTGAAGTAGTTTGTATTGGATTTAAACTGTATTCTATCGTCTCTATTTAATTACTTCGTTCCTTCACTTTTATCGATGAGTGTACGCACTTGGCGCCCTCGAATAAATTCAATGTAGCACCTAAATCTTTGCAGAACAAGGCGTCGAACGATTCGAATGCCAGAAAACAGGAAAAACTCGTTCCACGGCATTTTCGGTGTATGTTTTCCTTCGTGTAAGTGACACAATTAATTTCGAGAGAAAAGAGGCTTCTTCGGCGCGCAACCTTCGCGTTTCGTCCTCCGTACTTACTCATTGTTTTTACTTAATTTACTCTCTCAATTTACGTAGATACACGAACGACCGTACTTCTGCCCGGATGGAATGCACATTCGCGTGTCCATTAAGGCAACAGAAGAAAAATATATTTTTAATCAATTAGCTGTTTTTGATGAGTATACTTGTCCAAAAACAGCTAACCGGTTAACTCCTTGCCCTGTGGTTTATCTCTCAATTATGATTGATACAATTACTTTATCATTAATAATTTATTGAGAAAGAAGAAAAATTCTAGGTACATTCTATGTACATTGTTTGTTCCAAAGTATAATAATTGATAACGGAAGAATAATATTTAATTCGAATTGAAAAGAATTAAGCAATATTTGTGCTTGTTAAATTCTGTTTAAAATATTCACTACGAGTCTAACACGTTGTTATAAGGCAAGGGGTTAAAAGTATATTCATTATGAGAATGAAAAAATTATTTGTAGATTTGAGCATGTATAAGAATAAGGTACACACTTTTCAGAAGTTATAGTAGCTAACTGGTTAATTGCGCATACCGAAATGTTAACCATTGTGTATCGGAAACAAGAAATCTGGTTTTTATATAAATACCTACTTTTGTAATTTTGCTAACTACCGCACCATTTAAAAAAAATATTAAATTTTGTTAGAACTTGTTATTTACTTGAAATTTGTTAAATAACAATAAGATATTTGAATATTTTGCACATGGTGATAGAAGTTGATCTCATTGAAAATCCCCGGGCAGTTTTCTAAGAATTAATCGGTACACAATGTGTTAAACAAGGTAATCCTTTATTTGTGCCCGATTCGATGATTTCGTTTGAAACACGTTTAGTTTTAATTTCAAGATTAATTTTCCATCGGCCTAATGTACTTATTAGCTGAAAGTTTTCGTCGTTTTTTCTTTTCAATGTAGTGTTTGTATTATGGCATGTAAATTAATCTTACGAATAGAAGTACTGGAAAATGATAAACAATTGTATAGAAAATGAGGAACATATAGTTTAGTAAAGTAAAGTTTATTTCTGAATTTTCTTGAAAAATACGACAAAACTTTTTGGTCAATCTAATAAGTGTATTAAATTTTATACAACAGTGTGCTCGCACCTAAATTGTATGTATTTATTCATTAAGATAAATGAAGTAAAGATTATACGAGATGCTATTTAGAAACATGTATAAGATGTATGAGTGACATTTATGTATTCGATAAAATGTAAGTTTTCAAATATATGATACAGATTGTGAATAATTGTGTGCTTTCTTTTTCATTGTCACTGAAATTGGTACCTATTAAAGTTATTATTCGAAATGTTTAATCACGATGCAATGATGGGGTTACATTTCATTTATTTTAGATAGATTCATAGTTTTTTTATTTAAAAATTTGTTTTCTTTTATAACTTATAACAAATATTTTTTATCAGATTTTAATTACAAGTTATATATATATATATGTAAATTGAAGTTTTATGAAAAATAAAAATCAATGTTAACTAAAAGTCAATTAAATTGATGATTATAAATACCGGATTATAAAGATGTAAATGATTTTCATTTAATTTTATTATACCACGAAAAGTAAAAAATTTAATTTGTGTTCCAGAGTTTTGTTAACCAACGATACTTTTAATCATTTCTTTTTCAATTTTAATTAACCTTTTTTAATTGAAAAATCGTTAATTTAAGTGGAAATTTTGTTATTTCTCTTCGTTATACGATTTACTTTGAATATCATTTTTTAAAACCTTACTTAATTTTCATGCATTGTTGGATCAATTGAAACCAAAAGTGAACTGTTGTTTCTTCATTGAAAAGGTACGTTATTAACTGAATACTAATTATTTACACGTTATTAATACATATATTACAATCTAGTTATGCAAAAATTTCTATTTCAGTTAAATATTACTTTTAATCCAGTTTTAATTTACAAAGTATTAATACAGACTGTTATTTAAACAGTGCATAAATTTTAAAGGAAGAAAATATTATTTCATTTGTTCTCAATTTAGGATTTTTTATTTTTAATATTAAAAATTTTGCTGTTTTATATTGTATTGTTTCAATTCCTTTTTTAAAGCAATCTAATACTGCATGCTGTACAGTTAAAAGAAAATAATATCAGAATACAAATACAAAACTTCTCTAATAATAATTGTTGTTGAAAATATATCTAAATTCTAAGAGCGTTTGTTATATATGTTTCCAATATTCCTCTGTCATTCCTTTTCTCGTCGAAATTTCCGGAAAATTAAATTTTTTGTAGTTTACATTTATTATTTCATACCCTTTTGAATAGTCAGCAACCTATACGCAGAGAAAGTGAAACGTAGTGAAGGTTAATTGGTGGAGACACCAGTAATTTTTATTACCCTTTAAAGTTAATAAGTTATACGTGCAAATGAGAAGAAATATCTTTAAAGATTTATGCATGAAAAATTATAGAACTTTTAGACTAATGTAATTAAATTAAAAGATTTCTTGGAGTATGTTTCAAAGAGAAAATAATTTATAAAATTTTTTTAACAAATGTATTTAGCATGAGATAAAATCTTAAGTGAGTACATAGCTTCAGTGTTTGAGAGCAGTTCGTTAATTCTAAAGTCATGCGAACTTTATATTTTACGTGTAATTGTAATTAAATAAGTATGAAATCTCGAATAATAAAATGTTGACATTTAAATATTTTTCTTTCTTCCTACTTCTATATAAACAGTGCATATTTTGCTAAATAAATATATTTATAAGACACGATGCTATAGCAGTAAATTAACTGTTTAATATTAATAACGTTTTTCCTGTGGTATCTACTATTAATAATTTCTTATTCATTAAAAACATTATTAACTCACCTTGATAGAAGTAGATGTGTCATAAAAAATAGTAAAGAAATAAAAACTGAATTGCATGATTACTTGTTTGATGAACTTTTAAAATTGATTTTCACAAAAACCAAGTGTCTGAATAAATGTAATGGATGTTTTAAGGAATGAAACTATATGCCAGAATAAGATAATTATCAAGAACGATGAAATTCCGGTTCCAGCTTCCCCTCCAAATCATTAAAAATTAAAATTCCTCAATAATTTGATAACTCTTAATTTTCATTTTATTTTGACTTTCAAAATTAACTCTGCCAATACAACATTTAAAATATTCCTCGAAAAATTAGTCAGGTTGGGAAAATAATACGTGAAAATCGACAGAATATGAAGAGAAACATTTTAATTCAGATATGCAATAAGTCAATACATTTTACAAAATACATACAGCTAAGAGTGTACATTACGCCGAAGGAAAGAAAACAGCAACAAAGCAATTTTGTACGCAAACAAACTTAATCTACGAACATTTTAAATTATCCATTTATTTCGTTGTACTTCGACAACGTATAACAAAACGCTACTCGACGGACTACAGACTGTCGCTGGCCGTGAAGTAAAAGAAAAATTTCATATTCTAAGCTTTGGACGGATACCTGATAAGCTATTTTTTCCGCTTGCTTTTGCTTTCTTTAAAGTGATTCAAGATACACGACCACCGACAAAACTTACAAAACCAGTGAATTAAGCTTAGACAAGTGCATTTCTTTTAATTTAACCCTTACGACTCCAACCGATTTTTAAAGGTACCAGTAACACCAAGCTATTTTTATAGTACCCTTTGTGAAAACTAACAAATATTATATTACAACATTTCTTAGATTTTCCATTTTGCTTCTTAAGAGAAAATTTGCATCCGTAGCAAATGCAATAATCTTAAGATAGTTTTTTTCAACCTTGTTTGTTAAAATATTTAATGCTATAAATAATGTTGTAATGGAGACTATAGAGTGAAAAAGGTTATTAAAATTAATGTTTAAATTAATCTTCTAGAATTAACATATCTAAACTTTAAAAAATTCAAACAATGTACAAAATCAATTTACACAAATAATTTATGAGTACAACAAACATGACACCTTAAAAATTATTTTGTTTCACAAGTTTTGTCAGTGACTATAGTGCCTAACCGAAGATTCAAAAGTCGAAGAAAGAGAAAGCGACGATTAAACAGAACATTAAAATAAAAGAAAGGAGCTCTATCTACTTCTAACAGCGTGCGGTATTAACGCATTCACGCTAGGATATGTTCAATATGTTTAACCATTGATCATAATAATAATAATAATAACACTTAAATAAATAATATTGAAGTGCATTCTTTTGTTACGTCTCTAGTTTTCTAACTCCAGTTGCTAACAGTGGGTAAATGTAAATAATTTGGTAAATAATTTAATTATTAACGTTGTGATTTACTTTAATGTTATAAATTATGTAGCTGTATACCACCAGTGGTTCGTATCACCACTCGTTCGCCATTTTATACGGCAAGAAAAGAAAATCATAAGTCTATGAACAATGCATGCATCAAATTCATTTCACAAATTTAAATTTATTATTTTACCAGCGTGAACGTGTCACACGCTTGTTAGTTACTCGATCAAACTTTTCGTAAACCGTGACGCGAGGACGCGATTGCGAAAACGTGCCCCAAATAAACTGTTTCTCTTTATTATAGAACCGCGTCGCTGACATCAACCCTATGTACACGTATGGTACAAAAATAATGGCCTCGTTTGAACGTAACTTCTTTACCACGGAAATATTGTAGGTAGATCGTTACGCGAACGATTAATTTAAGTAAAGCGTTTAGCGTATGGTTAGCGCGGCTACGTTGACGCGTTTACGTCGAATATCTGATACGCAGCTAACGAGGTATCTAACTATAAAACGCTAACGAGTTCGTCCTGACCGTATACAACCATTTTATTAATACAACACGTCCCCACCGCGAATATCGACAAGAAGAAACCGTGGAAAGGTTACGATACACGCGACATTGATTCAATTTAACACTAAAACTAGCGAGCAGTTAAATCAACTTTTTGAAATTCCTCTATAAAAACTCCAAAAGTGCATATATTGAAATTTTAATTGGTTTATAATTCAATTCGCGTATTGCTCAAAAAATTTCTTTAACAATTTCTCAGAAAAACATCTGTTGCCTTTTTTATAATTGCAAAATGAACAAATTAGGAATGGGCCATTTTGACCCGTCTGGTAGTTTTCATGTTAAACTTATCCGATGTGACATGTTTTCTCCTAATTTTCCGAATGATTTATTCTTTTCCTTGTTTTCAATTGTTATTTGTACCATAAAACTTCCGCAACGTTAAATAAAGTTATATTTTGATTGGAAGAAATGATAGCCCACAAATGCTAGGGCGATCACGTAAAGAGATTGCAGAATCGATGCACTCGTCGCAGAATTGCAGAGGTCGGTGCTGCAAATGTGGCAAGATTCGATCACATTTGGACCTGAAATCGCCATTGCACTGCAGGGACCGTCGGTGATATCCGCCTCGTCGACGTTCGGGGTTGAACACTGACGTATCACCACTCGTTCACCATTTTCTACAGAAAAAAGGAAATCATCAGTCTATGAAAAATGCATGCATCAGGTTTATTTTACTTTAGATTTGTAAGCTTGTTCTAATTCTTAAAATGTAACACTTCAGCACAGGAGCAACAGAAGACCCTTATTATGTGATTTGTTGATTATATCTAAATATTTCAGACTTCAGTTTTCAATCATCTTTTTCTTCAGGATAATAGTGTTAACTGATAACCTAGTTCTGTAGTCGACAGTTAAGGTTTGTAGAGAATTTTCTGTATGAGAAAACAATATACACTTAACCCTCGATTTACACGGTATTCGAATTGCACGAATTCGGTTTTACACGGTCGAAGGAGAGCAGAACGACTTCCATTTACACGCACTTGCATTTCATTTTAACACGGTCAGATCAGACAAACTCAAAAATTACATTAATATTTTTCTTGTTTTGTGGATTATACATGCAATCTTGTTGGCTTAATAAATTTTTATTTGAAAATATGTATATAATTTTTCATTTGAGATCTTCTTTCCGAAAAAATTAGAATAAAAAAATTGTCAAGTGTATGTGTACTTACAAGGAAGATTATTCAAGTGTAACATGCCCAATATCATATAATTTGACAGTTATTTACGTATTATCCACGTCGTTAAAGTGTTCGTCCCGCGAGGATTATCTGACGGAGACTATCTAACTGGTTAATTGCTTGGTAGTTTAGTGTTAATGTAAGTGCATCTAGTACATAATATAATAGCTTTTTTGAAAGTTAAAATTTATTGTTTGAAACGTTAAAAATTTGCACTTTTAATCTCTCTTTCTTTATTTAGAGTTTCATTTAAGTTTACTTCTTAAATTAAGTGAAATAAGTTCCTGTATTTGAGAAATAATAATTAGCCTTTGCAGAAATATCTGCTCTACTAATGATGTTGATTTGCTGGCTCTGCATTGATATTTTCAGTAATGTTGTAATGATACGTTTTACATAGTTGATTTTGTATCAACAACGTATACTAGTGGATCTTTCTATTTAGAATACGAGTGTAAATTCATAGTAACGTTTAGTACGTTGAAAATTACACTTTTTTAAAGGATGGCAAATTTCTGCATATTTTTTTCATAAGCCTTATGAGTAACTATACAATAACTTTTTTTAATATCATGTTATTACAAAGTTATGAACCTTTAATTGTTTTTATACAATTGTATATTAAATTAGGTATTATGATAAGTATCTTCGAATTTCTTCAGATTTACAGAGCTTACAACAACGAAAAATCAGGCCCGGTTATAAGAGGCCCATATTGTCGACCACTTCAGTGGAAAACCATTGTCTGCAGAGGATTAATTTCCTCAGTTTTCAAAAAGTCATGCCTAGAATTGCTAATCATCAAACACAATTTGCAATTACGTGTTTACCTTGCGACCTTCTCACAATGAAATGTATTCGAGATCCACGTATAAAACAAAGTATAATTACAAATAATCATAACCGAGATTCTATTTTGTTCGTTATTTTTCTATGAAGAGAAAAAGAGAATATTTCCATACGACTCTAGGAAATATTATATATTCAATAATTTTGAATAAATATAAAATAAGTATTATTATAAGTCGAAAATTCGTCTCATATATTTTTAAAATTTCACTATGAAATTGTTTACTGTATTTGCTAACTATATTGACCCCTTGCTTTATAATGACGCTTCACACTCGTGAAGATTAAACAGAATTTAACAAGTGTAAATTGAATACTTTGCGGTTTTAGAATTAAATTTAATATCGTTTAAAAAGCGTCTTATTTCTCGACCATATTCATAGTATTTCGGAAAGTAAAAGCTCCATCTCATAAACATAAGAAGAAAGCAGAACCGATGGAAGATATATCTTCACGTTGACAATGTTTATAAGCATTACAAGAAGCACAAAAATACTCTCCTACTAGGGAGAGTAAGATAGTAAAATTCGTAAAGGTGAAACTGGATCAAATGCACGCGAACTCGACAAATTTTCAAACTTATTTTCCTCGAAAACAAAATTTCATGTGAAAACATTTTATTCTACATTTTCGATTCGGTTTTTCACGTAGAGTCACCTCTCGCTTGCTTGTACCGCCAATTATGCAACACCCTGCGTTACTAGATTCTTGTGAATTTAAATTAAATATTATTCTTCCGTTATCAATTATTATTCTTCATAGCTGTTTGATTGTTTTATTAATGTAAGCGCAATGTGAACGCACAGTACTCGTTTTACGCCAACGTTCTCCGCCACACGATTGGCAGCCTAAATCAGGGCGTAGCGATCACGCTTTCCAACAATAGCAAACGTGAATATACAATTTGCCTAGAAGTTTTTCCTTTTTTTTAATGAATTATTAATGGCAAAGCAGTTACATCGATCACAGTTGAGAAATAAATCATAGAGCAAAGGGTTAATAATGGTGACAATATCAATTTCTAATTATAATATTCTAAGAAAATTGGTGATCTTTGTGTCCCGTTCAATTTTCTACGGAGCATCAGTAATATGACTCTATCAGACAATATTTACAATTTCCAGTTTTTAATATAGAATCGACTGCAGCCATGTGAAATGTTTCTTATTTGTACCGCAATAGAGTATTGTTTGAACGATTTAACGCAACAGGTTGTGTAACCTGTGTGATTCAAACTGCACTCAGTATCTCCGGAAGTAATTATGTCTCTTTGTGTGTACATGCGAATAAAAGTGGGTTCCTTTGTACCACGATTAATAATGTACAATGCATGTCGAAATGATCATTTGCAAATTCCAGAACGCTATCGGGAAACAATGTGAATATTATATAGCGTAGTACCTGCTTATTTATGATGCTAATTGTAAGTTGGTATTATCGACTATTACTATTAGTACTAATAACCAGGGGGAGTGTTTTCTCTAATGAAATATTCAGTTGTAACCAGAGATTGAAAACAGCTATGATAACGGTTCCGACTAAAACAGTTATAAACAACCGAAATAAGGCGTAATTGTTATTTGGTATATGGGTTCTGAGCTATATTAGTTTCGGCTCGATATTATGTCGGTTTTGAAAACGATACTATAACTATTATTCTTCGGTTCCTTGTTTCGGTTCTTCATAACAGTTTCAAAAACCGAAAAATAACAGTGTTAGAACTGTTTCAAGACCGGAACCGAAACTGATACAGCTCAGAACCGATATACCGTATGACAGTTATGGCTTATTTTGGTTCTTCATAACTGTTTTAGCCGAAACCAATACATAACAGTTTCAAAGAGTTTCGGAACCATGTCAATCCTTGGTTGTAACATAAATATGTTTGGATGCAAATATAAGCATGTTCTAATTCTCAAAATGTAATTATGTCTTATTGCGAATCTACAGAACTATAATGAATAAGGAACCACTTCTAGTCAATTGAAATTCAGCCTTATTATTTGACTACTTTATGAAACTACATAATAACACAAAAAGAGTGTTGAATATATACGAATATGTTTATATTAGGAGCCAATAATATACACATTCACTTTGTTATGTATCAACATATAATACTAGAAAATGATCATTATAATGTCGTTTTGCACATTTATCTTCATTACAACTTTCTCTTCCTAGTGATAATGTATTATGATCGACACGCTTCTGACGAGTTTATAATGAAAGCACGGAGATTGCATGAAAGTAGTTTATCAAAAATACTTCGTTTGGAAAATACGTACTCGGTCGATAAATATTCATATCGAAAATTGTTTTATATTGTATCTTACAATGTATCTTCATTTGTTGAAAACACTCACAGTATTGTAAGTTTTGGCATGCCTATCTGTACTGTGCATAACAAGTATAATAAAAATAGTGTCCTAAAAATTTTGTAATTTGTAGAACTGTTTTATGGTATAGTGTCATTTTATTTTTCTACGGCGATTTTTCTACTTTTTTTTCTGTGGAAATTATCGTATTTTTAAATTATATCCCACTTCATGAAAGTAACACCATAATACCAATTTTTATGTACAATATATTAATGTAAGTGGTTACCTCCATTTTCAAAAAACTATTTCCAATAAAGTAATTATAGCATTCTGTCGGACTTGAAAAATATCAAAAGTTTAAATAAAATGCCAGCTTTTGAAATGTTTTGTCTAAAAGAATTTTTTATGCTTTTCCTATCTTTAGAAGAATGCACTCTCAGTCTAAATATTTTATTAAATTTAATTTTCTCATTCATACCATTGAATGATGTTTTCGAAGTTCCCATGAAAAATCGCAGTTGCAACCTGATTAATAAAGTAATCAGATGCTAACATGAGAGACTGTCATAAATGTGTCTATTCGAGATACTATGCGATGCTAATTATAAAAACAAATGAATTAAGACATAACAGGAAGACCTTCTTTGTGTTGTCGAGCTATTATAGTTCGTTCTATGTAAATTTAGATAATCCTGTGCCAGTTGTACATGTATGTGCGTCATTAATTCCAAAATTGCAGTCACGTTAACGCGATTAACCTCAATATTCATGATTCCGCACCGACGAGTGATTTTTCCCTATTGCGGGTGTGGTTTCGGCCTTGGTTACTCACAATTATCGCAATTATGGCATGGCAGCACGTGTTGTGTTGTGAGTTGTGAGTCACGGACACAACGCGGCATGCTCTGACGAGCAAGTTGAAGACGATGATCGCCGGATAATATTACGATTCCATGCGACGTTCAAATGCGTCATCGGACTTAAGAACATTGCTCATATGGAAGTATCGTGGCTCTTGCAAGCATAACAACAAAGCTGTAAATGGAATAACTGAGGCTTAACCAAAGCCAATAATATTTCTTTTGACATTTTTTTTTATTACGCACTAACTGACAGTGTTGTAATAGCAACCACAGACATTCTATTCTAACTGCATCTCGAACTGCAAAGGATTAATGGAATCCCTCAATTGAATAATTAGGATAAGAAGAATAATTTTTGCTTTCTTTGTATTAGAAAATGTGTTGTTTTCATTGTTTCATTATATTTTTAATTATTGAACAGTGTTATAATATTGTAAATCTGAATGTCTATAAGTTACCTTATTATATACAGCTATATTACCTTCATTACTATTATGATTGTAAACCAGTTTTCAGGGAATAAGTACTTTTTGTACAATTGTTAATTGACTTTTGTGTTATGAGGTTATAAAGTTGAATCAGCATTAGTTATGATGCTTATATAAAGAAAAACTTTAGAATTATGCTAATTAAATTGATAAGTAGTTTTTAACTATGCCTCACACATTTGTGATGTATTTAAGCAAATTGTAATACATTTCAGCAAAAAATATCGCTATTATTTTATGCTATCACAATTTTAACATTTATTTAAACTTTTGCATCTAATAAATTAAAATATAATGTGTAAAACCATTTGAGCATTGCATATTAAACGCATTTAACCCTTTCCAGACTGTAAGGTTAACAGAACTTAAGTTGACTTTAGAGTTCGATAAAATTTCCCTCAATAATTCGCAAACTAAATCGTGTCGGCTTTCATCAGAATATTTCATTTACTAAAAGTACATCATGTATAATACAATTGTTGTTCGCTTTTCTTAAAATTGCTAATCCATAAACATGAATAAAAAACTTTAGCAAACTAAAAATACAGTGAAATTAAATTATTTTTCAAATTTGTGATCTACGGATTTTTTAAAAATTTGTATACTGTGCAGCAATTTATTTACAGATTTTAAGTAAATACAAACTGTATTAAGATGATTAATTTCTTGTGTAAATTGTTTACTATTATGTCTCATTCAGCATAAATGAAACTTCCATGTGTAAAGTAATGTATGACGTGTCGTTTCCACCAACCACTACGATTCGTCGTAACAACGCGTCACACAATAAATCTTAACACATTTGACCCATTAAGATGTCCAAATCCGCTTGAAAGACATTTAGACTTAAAATTAACATAAAATGGACATCCGCAGTGCATCGCGCTCTGTCTGCGTTGTGACACCTTCAAGCAGTCGCGACTAATGTGATGACAGCCAACTTATCAATCTAAATTCATTTTTTAAATAAATATTTCAATTATCTTTTTTAACATCTGCATATATAAGTGGAAAAAAGTACCTCTTAACTTTCCAAAATTATTTCGCTTCTATTTTCTCACAGTTGCCTTAAATCAAATCAAATTGCAGATGTCACCTTACGACATATTGATTTGAGAAGTATTTGAAACTTCGAAACCTTGTATGCATTATTTAATGCAATAATTCAGAAAAACAATTCAGAAAAATTTTTGACGACATTCTGCACAATCTATGCTTTCAAAAAGGTTTTAAATACATTCTTCTTATAAGTTGCCTTTAATCAGAATTTATTACCTAAATTGACTTACACAATATATTATATTATCTGTATTATCTAAAAATTTTTACTGTCAGAATAAATATAAAATAGTATATTAATAAATTGTATAAAATCCAATTCTTTTAAGTAGTCGTGTTCTACTAACTATAAGGGAAAACAAAATAATTTACTTTAACTCTATTTATTTTAACTCTATTCAGTCAGTTGCACAGAATATAGTACTTTCATGCAACAAACTTGGTTTGCTGGACATTTTCATACTTACTAGTATATTTACAAAACGTTAAAAACATGGTTAAATGGAACGTTAAATGGTTTCTTTTTTTATTGAATAATATAGTTTTTCAATTACTACATACATAGTACAAAATTGTGTTCTATAAAAAAATTATTGTTTTTTATATGGACAACATGCACAATAAACTACATTAAAAGAGAAAAATAAAATTTAAAAAGCAACATATTTATAGAAGTTTTCTAAGTATTATTACCTTTTTTCACGATTTTGCGGCATATCGGTTTGGACGAGTCATAAGGCATACTTTCTTCGCAGCGTTTTGCGTGGAATGTCGCCTGATGATCTGTGACGTTCATTGGGTCTCCGCATAGAGCATTTGAGCTCGAAGAACAAACCCAACATCGCAAAGCGGAACCTATGAAACACATTACAATAAATTAAGAAGGATGTAAAACATATGTATTAACACTTCGGGATTAGGTGGCTTTAAAATTATCCACTTTTTTTATAGTTAATACATTACTTACACTTGAGTAATTAATTGAAATTACTTATACTTTGATACTATTATCGTGCAGGGAGAGTTTTTTGTTTCTTTAATACTACAATAGGTTTACGGAACACGTCAATTCGACGCGTATTGAAGTTTATAAACATTATTTAGTAAACGTTTCAGCGGATTTTGACTGGTGCAATATCAATATCATAATTATCTATCTCTAAATCTTTAATTTGCAAAATCTAAATGAACGAACATCAATTTTTTAAGACCAATAGAATAAATTATACAATAAATGTCCGTAAACCTAGTGTTGAAATTCTGTGTCCTTAAGGATAACACCTAATTTCTATTTGTGGAGCATTTTCTTTGTTTTATAGTGTTTTCTTATTTAGTAATTGTTGTTATATTGGAAATACTCATGCATACAGAACATTCGCAATTATCAGAAACTTGGTATAAGGCAAAATGTTTAACCCCTTGTCCTACAACAACGGGTGAGACTCGTGGGGAAGAGTTTCATCATGATTCAACAAATATGTATATTACTCAGTTCATTCGAATTCAAAGTAAATATTATACCTCTGTAATCAACTATTATACTTAACAGGAAAGATAGGCATAACATATGCTTTGAATTTTTCTCTTTTTCAATAAATTATTAATGACAAAATAGCCGTATCGATCAGAATTGAGGAAGAAATCATAGGCCAAGGGGTTAACGAAATATTTTCCTTTTTTTTACAACTCACCACAAGGCAAAATAAGACAAACAAATTCGTTTTCTATTGCAACTTTGTACGTTTCTCCGTGAAGGTTTATATTTCAATAAGATCAATCAAACGGAAAATGTTGAATCATCTCTAATAAAAACGAAGTATCAATCATACTTCCGATCCCATTTGTATCAACTTTTCTTCGAGAACCAGATCAGTAACATTCCAGAATGTAAAAACTGCGTACAACCACAATTCTTTCTGTAAGGATTACTCATTTTCTTTCCTGGCGTGCATCAAGGAAACCCGCGGATATGGAACGATTACGTAACTGATTACGTTATACCCACGCCTAAGTAGTGTGTGTTACGGATTATTTATTTAGAGTACTATAAAATTTGGTAGATACAATTATCGTTAAATAATTATTTCTTTATTCTTAAGTAAAATATAATGAATACTTTTTTCTCTTTTGGTTTCTAAATGTTTAGCTATTATAAGTAAATATCGTTGATTACACATGTATAGTTTTATTATAAATTATTATAATTAATGCACATTTATTGTTGCACCAGGAATATTGGAGTCATTTTTTACATCAGAAAGAGCAGCAAATTGAACTACAACAATGGTTAGTTAATTCAATAGGTTTGATAATTCAGGTGGTAACAATGAACCTCCGCATAACGAGATAACAAAACCTGCACTAAAAGGGTAATGACTGAAGCAAGTAAGACAATAGAAATGGTAACGTCCAAGATGATGGTTTAAATAAAAATTTACTTAACATTTTCTACCCGTGATTTCACAAACAATTAATCATGACTATTTTACAAATAACTGCAAAATGTGCACAGTTGTTTTTAACAACATATTTATCTATACTCGAATTTACTATAAAACCAACTTCTAATAATATTTTATACAGATTCGTAAACGTTAATATAATTAATTTATAGTTACGATAAACACTTTTATGAAAAATCGATTTGAAAAATTAAATTCGTACCCAAAGGTTCATATTTCTAACAGATTTTGTATATTTTATATATTCAAACAGGTTAACATAATATAAACTATTTTTTGTTTCTTTTCTAAGTTATTAACAAAATATAAAATTAACACGTATCCTTTAATTTTTTCACTGTATCATATGATACTTTACTTTTCACTTTTTTCTAATACAAAACGTCTCTAATCACAACAAAGCGAAGACACTTATTTCACACAATAACATAGTACAGAAAGTACCTGTTTCTCTTGGAAATATTATTTTTCTCAAACTGTAATACTTAAAACCGAAGGCCCCCTTTAATATAAAACAGTTAAACCGCAATACATTTGTAACTAACAAAATATGTATTTTTACACTTCAAATACAATGTAGGAAAAAAATGTGCATTAACAAGTTCACTCTAGTACGTATCATCGGCGGTACACGGGTAATTTACAACATTACAATAAAGCAACGTTAATAAGCAAATTAGTTACAAATTATTTATTTACTTGCAATTTGCAGCTAAAGTCAGAAAACTAGATACGTAAGAACAGAATCTACTTCAACATTATTTTCGCAAACAATCTTATTATTACGGTCTGCGACTAAATATATATAAACATATCCTATCCCCTGAATGTGTCAAACATTAACCCACCTGACTGTGCAAGAAGGACCAAACCAAAGATCACCAGTATACACTCTATTCGAGACGACATTCTGGCCGGTCACTCGGAGACTTCAATGCGTCTGGTGTCCAGTTGTGATCGATGTATCGTTCGCACGGATCACGATCGGTTCAATTCGAATGAAATAATCTAATCTTGTAAGGGTTGAGAAACAGTTGGCAAGGAACTGCTGGTGTCACCGAACGTGTTCTCTACGATACTGATGAGACAACACCCCCTTTTCGCCGGGAGCGTACGCACAGTCTCCTTCTTCCCTCACTCCCTTCCACGAAGTCATTCCACTCCTCTTGCCGGCACGCGGCTACCATGGACCGGCGTAATAACATATCGTGCCTAATAACCCCGTAACCCCTCCGTGGACGATGCAAGTGCCAGGAAGTAGGAGTCAAGAGCAAACAACCGAAGAAGGCTTTTAGAGAACATAAGAGACGAAACAATAATTGTGGGCTTAAGGGAGGGACCGAGAAAAAGAGAGAGAGATAGACAGAGAGAGAGAGATAGACAGAGAGAGAGAGAGAGAGAGTGAGAAAGAGAGGAGGTTGCAGCCAGAAAGAGAAAGAGGGAGAAGGAATGATAGTGAGAGGAAGAAAGAGAGAGAGCAACATTGCTCGCGGCCCTCATTGGTCTCATTAGGACAATTACAGACCTGTTGAACGCTCTGGGATCTTTCGAGGTATATGCTGGAAACTAGAGCATGTGTTCGTTCAGCAACCACTGAATTTTCAGATTGCTCTCCACAGAGATTGAGCAAATTGTATTGAAGGGATTTTGTCGTTATTAGTTTTATTTATCTAATAGGGAATGCGGGATTGTTTACTAGGATAAATGAATTATTGCTATAATTACGTGTATTTTTGATTGTGAGTTTCAATTGCTTTATTTCAAGACCTACAGGTAAACATAGGGGGAACAGAAATTTTATGAGATTTCATAATGTTTAGTTTTAAAATGCGACTTTTTTTAGATAAGTGAATTAATAGATAATTAAGAAGTTAGAAAACAGTAGGGTTATGTATATTTTAGTATAAGTAACATTTATATTTCGTTGTTTCCTGCCATTTTCAATCACATTGGAGATGTCATGATTTATGACAATCATAAATATGGAGCAACTTGAATAATATAAATATATAATTCAAAAATTTGTACACTTTACGAAAATGAAAATTTTACAATATATTTACATTATATTTTAATGTATATGTCTTGTATATGAAGTTCGTGAGCATCTTTAAACATTTTATCTGATGCAATATTTAAGTTCCATTACTCATTCGTATCACTTCAGTTTTTTCCTTGTATGTCTTAATAATTATTTATCTTGCTATTGAATCACACTCAAATATCAATCTTCGACAAGATATGCAAATTATAAAGAAATTCTGTATTGCTATCATATGGAGTCTTCCCAAAATATCAATACACTGACTATATTTCCTTACATTTAATAACATGTTTTAAAATTTCATAAAAAAGGTTATAGAATGAAATGAGTTACTCCACAAATTAATATTTTTTTATTCTGTATAATTAGTTTTACACTTAATACAATTTGCATCGTGGGATGACCCGTTTTTAGTAAAACTCGAAAAGAAAAACATAAGAGCTTCTGTATAAAAAAGAAACAAAAGAATCTAAACTCTAGCGAGTGATATCCCTATCCCACAATTTATTTTCTGAAAAAACAACAATAATTATATTCGCATTTTTTTGTATTGGCCATATTATTAATTGCTTGCACACCAACATTAGTTGCCTTTTTCTATCGTAGAACTGCAAGTTAAAGCAGGTCAAGTTAGTTTTCTTTCATTTATGGTAACGTTAACATTGATCACTTGACTCTACGTTCGTACTAACGTAGAACAACGTCCAATTATTCGTCTTTTATGGTTTGAAGATGTATTTAGAATTGAAATCCTTTCAAGACTCATCGCATCCATCTGTGATAATACAGAACAGCATACACACAGCGTTTTTCTGCAAAAGAGTGCCTATAAACGGATTGAGAAATTAAAAAATAGTTAAGTAAGTGTTATGAAGAACTAAAGAAAACCATGTATGCGTAATTCATAGCAAAAAATATCTTTTTCTGTGGGCATAAAGAAACTTGGATAACAATAAACTAAATGTGTTGAAAAGTAAAGGAACAACATCGAATAATATATAATATTATTTAACATATTTTATTTTTATTGTAATAATCTTTATAACTACATCGAATAACATGCAATTCTGTTTAACCATTTAGTAACCTTTAATTTAATATCAGTAAAATTCGAACCGGTAGGCTAGTCATAAAGTTATCAGTATAAAATCGATATAATAATAATCAACTGTTTTTTGAACAGATAGAATAGTGTTTTTTTTTATAAAAATATTTATTTCTGTTAAAAATGATGACTTAATTAGAGTATATTGTGAAAATAAATGTATTTTTTCCAAAAGTTTTTATTTGAGAGCTGAAGGATTAAATGTATAATATAAGTAAACATTACAGTATATTATAAAATATAATCTATATTAAATTTATAATGAATTAATTAAATTAATTAAAGTAAGAACTAATTTAAATCGTTTAGCAAAAATGTAGACATTTTGTAAGTGATCATTCATATGGATCATTCATGACATTCATATGGAAATTTAATTTGACACTCTATCCATCTGGAATGAATTTAATTTTCAGATTGCTCAGAAGCATAACGGTAATGAAGACGTACCCTTTGCTACGGAGAACTGTAATCCTCTTTGCAGTACTACATTAATTTAAGTTACAAAAGTTAATGTAAGTTCAAATATTTATTGATATATTGTTTTTGTTCGAGATAACATCGAATAAGAGGAATGCTGAAATATATCATTTAACGAAAAAGTACAGAAACGTATATCGAAGAAGTATTGCTTTCTGAAAAGAGTTAGTAATTAAAAACAACTGTGAATCTATCCACATAAAGTGAAATGGGGATAAGGAAAAAAGTATCCCTGTATTTCGTACATTACTTTATTAATAATATGCACATAAGGTATTATTACAAATGCAACTGAGAAAGAATGTATCGACATAAACTTGTTTTTTTTTCAGCAAGTTTAAATGTTAACCAAGCGTTGAATCATAAAGGAGTGTCTAATGGTGAATCACCATACTGCAATTGGAGACGGTTGACCTGTATTCAAAACCGAAATCATTCATACGAAAAAGTTTTACTCATTTTATTTTTATCTATTTGGTTTAAAAATCTTTAGATTGTAATATCTAATTTATTATACTAAATAAATTGATTAAATCATTAAATGAATAATAAAATATCTGCCCTCTATTTGTTTTTGAATTGAAAGTATGACATATGAATAATTACTTATTTTCTATTGAAACTTTTACGTAAATCTGTGTATATTAGTATACAAGGTGTATACTATTATAGTTAGAATAAAATCGTAAAGGAAATTTTACTTTATTTAACAAACTCTATCATAGTACAATATCAAGTTTTTCATAAGCGCAGTGGTGCAGTTCCAAAATTCAATTGTACTTTTTTAGAAAAGAAAACTATCTATTTTCTTTTACATAAACAGTTTTTTAGTGTCTTCTTCTGTTACCATTAAAACCTGAATATCTTTCAAGATGTTTTATTTTGAATATTCAGTGTTATGTGAATGCTTCGTCATATTGGAGTTACTTTGCTAATCTTACTTACTAACAGCATGCCTTCAATGAATATCCGAAGTAAATATCTCAAAAAATATTCAGTTTCCAATGAGCCATAATAGAATCGTAAACGTTTTTATGTAAAACAACGCACAGAAAGGATTGATATAAACAAAATATAGAGTTTCTTTTAAGAAAAAGTGCAATTGCATTTTGCAACTGCACCAATGCATTTATGAAAAAACCTGGTATTGTAGTATGACAAAGCCTGTCAAATAATGAAAAGCTTACCTTTACGATTTTTTTAAAATCCAATAAAAACAAAGTTATAGATCATTTCAGTAACTAGATACACCCTGTATATCATGCATGCACACACACACGCGCGCGCAATCAAATTAGTTGATTGTTTTACATTAATTATAATATTATATTGATTATAATAATAATTAGTTGTAGGCTTGTCGTTAAAATATTATTAATAATGTGTATAATATAACATCTACTAAATTATTATCATTCAGAAAAGTCGTATTCGTCCGAAATTGAAAATTAGTTATAAAATAAAAATAATGAATTTCATATATTACGAATTTTATTTGCAAATTATATCTGTTGAACTTCAAGAAAAATATAACCAGTTACTGTGAAGTTCTTCTTGTAAACTGAAAGTTTAAAACACACATCACGTTCAAATTGATGTCAGAGTAGACAAGTAGTGGTTATGACGTGATCCAGTTCAGGTAAACGAATCACGTGCTCACAAGCTGTTACTGCCAGCTTCATAAACGAAATTAATTATTTTCTAATGTTTGGCAGATTGCTTTACTTTTATGATAGATATACAATGAGTCACAAGAGTGTTCGTAACTCCTGAACTGCCGACATTGAACTATTGATATTTATTTGTAATGGAAATTTCAAAGTTCTTATCAACAGGAATGTATATTGGAATTACGAAGTTATCAAATTTATACAAACTTCATTGCAAAACGACATGTCAATATAACATATAACATTCATATAACAAGAATGTAGTTTTCCATAAACCGGAACAAAATTGGTCTCACAAGAGTATTCGTACTTGCCCAAGTAATACAAAAGATACAATTATCAAAATACAAGTATTAATAACTAATGTCTGGTTGGTCCTACTTTGTATATTATAATAATTTTGAGACGATCTGAATCATGAGGCTTGTAAGACCAATTTTTTTCTAATTTACGTAAAATTACATTTTTGTTATATTGACATGTCGTTTTGCAGTAAAATAAATATAAGTTTGAAAGCTTCGTAATTTCAACATACATTCCTGTTGATAAAAGCTTTGAAACGTGAGTGGATGTGTTAAGTCAAGGTCGACTTTGCTTTCCAACGTTGTTTATTGTTTATTGTACTCCAGTTGATGTATTTTTTTATTCTTTATAAAAAGTTGTTAACCTATTTGTATCATAAAGTTAATAGTTTAGAGGATATTTTAATTCAACTAATTTTACTTATTTTTACTAATTTTAACTTTAATTACAGAAAATGTTCAACATAACCATTATTTAAATTACGATATTCTTTAAATCACGAGAACAATAATTTTCTTACACTATTTAATTACACTGATATATAAAGACGCACCACTATATATTCGTTTAACAATG